GCATAAATCCCCCGGTCCTCCATTTCATCATCATCCCGGTGTCCAATACGCTGTGCCTAACACGGCTCAGACCGCACTGCTCCATTTCCGCTTCCGCAGGGAGGCCTGCCGAACTCAATCGTTCCCCGCATTTTGCCTGCTCCTTCGTTTCTCATGGTAATTCCTTCCTGTGCTCTCTCATGGCAATTTCGCCTCCCCTTCGTATTCATTCCCCTCCCTCCCCTCAATTTCGTTTCCTTTTCTCTGCCAACTCCTTCGTACCCACTCCCCTCCATCTTCGCTCTCTCATGGCAGGTTCGATTTGCGCTGTGTGCTAGGCCTGATGCCAGGTCGACAGCGGAGAGAGGGGTGCGGATAGGGGAGGACGAGGATAGAGAAGAGGAAGGAGAGGTCCCTCCACCCGTGCTGTTTGCCGATTCTCGGCCGTCCTGGCTCCGTCCGCGCGCGGTGGCCGACGTCCTCGCCCGCGCGACCGCGGTCAACGTCCTCCTCGGCGCCCCCCCTCCGTCTTGCAGCGTCGTGCGGTCAAGACGCAGGAATAAGGACAGGAGGAAGAGAGGGATAGGGAGGAGGAGGAGGAGGAGGAGGAGGAGGAGGAGGTGGAGGTGGAGGAGGTTTGCCGTCACTGGGACATCGCCTGGCGCAGCACAATTGGATCGATGGTGGCGGGGCGAGGGGGCTTTTGGGAGGGGAGAGACACAGCCGTCTGCGGCGGAGGGGTAGGATGTCAGATATGACGCGAGCGCACCTAGCTTGCCCCCTCCCCCTCCTCCTCCTCCTCCTCCTCCTCCTCCTCCTCCTCCTCCTCCGTGCGGAAGGCCAGGGCGTGGAAGGCAGGTCTGCTGATTCTGGCCGCGCGAGCCTCGGCCACGGACGGGCTCGGCGGCACAGCCCGAGAGGCGGTGGCCCGACGGCCAGAGCCCCTCCTGAGCCCAGCGACGGCAAACCTCCTCCTCCTCCTCCACCACCTCCTTTTCCTCCTTTCCTTCTCCTCCTCCTCCTCCTCCTCCTCCACCTCCTCCACCTCTTCCTCCTCCATTCCTCCTCCTCCTCCTCCTCCTCCTCCTCCTCCTCCTCCTCCTCCTCCTCCTCCTCCTCCTCCTCCTCTCCTCCTCCTCCTCCTCCTCCTCCTCCTCCTCCTCCTCCTCCTCAGAGTTTGCGATTGACGGCCCGTGCTCCAAACCGGTGCTGATGGAGCTAGAAAAGGCAGGATAGGCGATTGTACTTCTGGATCCTGACGGTGACCGACCTCTACGCGTTATGTTCGCAGCAGTACCTGCAAGCGTGCCCCAGACGTCGGCGATGGCGGAGTACCTCTCGTTTGTTTTCTCGTGCCAAGTAGCAGACCGACCAGCTACACTTCACGCTGGCTTCGAGGGCACGATCAACCTCTTCCAGCAGACGGCACAGAAGAGGTGCAGGCCACACAGCGATATGGAGGAGTCTTTGGTTTTGCGCATCGCCTACCAGGGTTCACCTTCATCCAGGACGTGAAGCACGTCAAGGCACATCGATCAGGCGAGGAATACACTCACCTAGACGCGGCGTCAAGGAGGATCACGGACGGAAATCTTGTGGCTGACCACTGTGCAAAACTAGGAGCGCGACGGCATCCCGCCATCACCGAAGCGTTTTCAATCGAAGTTGGATGAGAATCAGAAGTTTTGCCAAGGGCTCTCCAAGTTGATTGCGCATGTGCTCCCTTTGCACGACACAGAGGAAGAACGTTGGCAGCGGGCCTCCAGCTGCTACAAGCGCGTCAAGAGCATCGGGACGGACAACTGGCACGACTGGCGCGACACGGACCTGGGCCGACAATGTTCGGGGTGCTTGTGTCTTTGGCAGCCTGGTTTTCAAGAGTTCAATGGACGCGCTGTGACGCCCACTTTCTTCAAATAAAACATGAACAACCCCTTTGGGAACCAGCTCATCACGGTCAACCAGAAGGGCGAGCTCAGCGGCGCGACGTGCACGGCGACGGTGTTCGCACGCGTCAAGAACAGGGCTTGGGCGAAGCGGCGGCGCAAGTTAAAGCTACGCGAGCAGTGTACGTGGCCCACAGTAAAGGACATGGAAGTCCTCGCGAACCTGCGCAAAGGCATTGGCCCCCATAAGCGGCTGGCACGGCAGATAGATACAAGTCTAGCTTTCCGAGCCCGAGAGAATCGTGGATTGCAGCGGGCCCTGCAGCGAAAGGCCAGATTGCATGCGCGCGTGCGCACAAAGGAGCAGGCAGCGAAGCAGGGAAAAGGCGGACGCCAACACCATGCTTGGCAACAGCGGCATCATGGCCAACGCTACTACAGAAGGGGCGCCTGGTGCGATGGGACGACCACCAGCAATACCAGAGCGAGATCAAGCAGACAAAATTACGATGACGTGAGAGCGGCTCCACGCAACTGGGCGGAGATCTGGTGCAACGATCTCTGCGGGGCTGAAGATAGAGCACAGTGGCAAGAATGGCGCGCGGTATTCCTGGGATCGGTGACCAACCGAGGCAATAACGAGCCACTACGATGGCTACTGCTCAGCTGGTTCCCTGGAAGGGCCATTGCCGACATCATCGCAGATCTGCGCAGCAGCGCGTGGCGACAATCACAAGGTCAACGCGACGCAGTCCTGGGCAGCCTATCGGAGGCATCAAGGGACGTGCGACAGCAACTTGAACAAGCACACTGTCGCGAGCTCGCGCACGCGCGCGCCATGTTCAGGCAGCTGTTGGGTGGCGCAGCTGCAGATCGACTGCGACATCCCACCCTTCGCATGCCAGATCCAGACGATGATCGGGCCACCGATCGAGCTTCAGCAAGATTGTGCAACATCGAATGGACGCGGGTGGCATGCTCGGCAGGAGAAGCGAGTGCAACGACGCCGTCAGCACAACCACCGAGGCGAAGGATCACGAGTGAGCGGAGCGGACAGCGTAAAGTCCAGACACCGACGGCCCCAGTCAAGCGAGGGGGCAGGCCTGACAAGCAGATCGAGGAGGCGAAGCGCGCCACCCCAGCCAGAGGAGGGGTTAGGCCTGACACGCAGAAAGTAATGGCGCAGGCCATTGGCGGGCCTGGCTCTGCTGAGGGCCCGCCAGGTCAGGCAGGAGATGGCGCAGCGCGTTTCCCCGGCCAGGCGAGGGGCTAGGCCTGACATGAAGGGCGCGATGGGGCAGTCCATTGGCGGGTCTGGCTCCAATGAGGGCCCGCCAGGTCAGAACGCAATGGGTCAGGAACCCGTCGCGGGGCGCCCCTCGAGCCCCGCGGCGGTCGCGTCGCCGCAGTTTCGCTGGGGCACCGGCGCGCAGCTCGAGAAGACGAAGCTCGAGGAGCTACAGCTTCGGACGGACGATGGCGGAAAGGCGCGCGGGACACGAGGGGCGGCGCGCTGACATGGGCGTGGAGGGGGGCAGCCCCGCGAGCACCCCAACACCTTGCTCCCGAGCCAGGGACAACCAGGCGACTGCTCCAGATGGTGGAAACGATGTCGAGGCAGCGCAGCAAGTTCCCCCAGCCAGGCGAGGGGTTAGGCCTGCCATGATTGACGAGGCGGTGCAGTATTATTCCCCAGCCAGGCGAGGGGTGAGGCCCGAGGTGCAGAGCGCGCGCGCTCGCACCGACCTTGACGAGGAGGACGACATCTTCGAGCAGTGCGATTTTGACTACGAGGAGATGTTCGGCCTCGACACTGCGGCACTTTCGCAGTGGCACTGACTGGTATGACGTCAGAGGGCGCAGCGGCGTGCGCGTGCACGTGCACTCGATCATGCTGCAGCGCGCCGACTCCGACCCGTGGTTTTCGAGTGCGGCATCTCGTTGGACATCGTGTTCAGTGCCACCGCTCCCCCTCGTCCTCTGAGAGGGGACGCGCCTGCTGGCCTCAGCGGGAGCGCGGGAGCGCGGCCGCGGCGGGCGTCGCCGCCGTGCTCGGCCCTCGGGGCAAACGCGCGCTTCCGCGGGCTGACCGACCTACCTTGTCCTACTCCTCCTCCGCCCTCCTCCTCCTCCTCTTCCTCCTCCTCCTCCTCCTCCTCCTCCTCCTCCTCCTCCGCCCTCCTCATCCTCCTCATCCTCCGCCCTCCTCATCCTCCTTCGCTTTCCTCCTCATCCTCCTCCTCCTCCCCCCCCCCCCCCGCACACACATCCCGAACCTCCTTTCGTCGTCCGGCCAGGGGGGGGGGGGGGGGGCTGGAGGGCGCCCGGAGGGGGAGGGAGTCCTACGCGCTTACCCCATGGGTCCCCGAAGATGTCCCAAGGATTCGCTTGTGATTCCCCGATGATTTCCCGACGGATCCCTGATGATTTCCCGATCACCTCCCGATGGGGCCGCCTTGGCGGGGGGTTGGTGCCAGGGCGCGCCTCAACCACGTTTGGGCGCGGCTCTCTGCTCGTAGCGCCAGATGCGCGGGGACTCCGTCTAAGTAGTGAGCGCAGGTTGGGTTCGATGCGCTGGGGGAGTGCCTCTTTCAGGCGATCGCAAACATGGATCAAGGGGGCGTAGATTAGCGACGGGCCCCGCTTCCATGGGAAATCTCGGATTTCCGCCGCCGAGCGAGGCGGCACCGGTCGGATGTTTGGGGAAGGCGCCTCCCCCGATCCATGGATTTGGCGACCGCGCGCCAAATCCATGGATTGCTAATCCATGTTTGCGCGCCCCCGACCCTTTCCCCGTGTGGCTCCATTGGTCTAGGCCTCCCGGGTGGGGTTGGAGTACATCGGGTCGGATGGGTCGCGCCACATCGCCGATGCATCGCGGATGTTGCTCGATGTGGAGCCCAAATTCCTCGACGCCGACATCGCCGATGTATAGCCGACGTCGCCGCTACGTCACCGATGCGTCGGCGCTGCGGCTCGATTTTCCGGCCCCACCCATTCGGACCCCATATGGAAAGCCTCTATATATATTGGTGTCGTTTGAGGTGCTATTTGTTGGTCGACAATCGCCTGTTCCTTCGCCGTTGTGCTGTCGTGTTGCCACTGTTTGTGTGCATTCCGCGCCGTGCGCACGAGGAGCTATGAGATCCCTGCCCACGCGAAGATCATCACAGGTCGCATGTTTGCCATCCCCATGTCTGCTGCCATTCCCGTACGGTACACATCCGTTCTGTGTTGTCAACTACCTCCGTACTTCTGCTTCTCCCAGATCGCGCCTATTTCCTCTTCCTTGTCCGTCCTCATGCCTCCACTCTTCAAGGTAGTCGAAGGCCAGACTGTCAGATTGGATTGGGCCCCAAGGGCCAATCTGGCCCGGCCAAACTGGATGATTTGGGTTATTTGCCAGACTGGATTCGCGTCGGCTCCCTCGCCAGATTGCCCCCGTTTGCCAGATTGGGCCTGCCAGATTGGCGCCAGATTGGCTTCGACTACCCAGTTTGGGTTCTCCTCCTGGACCTCTTTGGCATTTTTGGGCAGTCTCGGGACGATATTGGGACCCACTTGGGCGTCTTGGCCGCTCTTATGACCGAGAAGGCAAGGTTGTCAAAGCTAGATTCAAACCAATGGCAAATCCATGATTTTGGCTTCTTGGGCAAAACGACCACAAGAGGTCCGCGACGGTCCCCGGGGACGCAAGTCCCCAACTCCGCGCTTCCGGCACCGGGCAAAATCACGCGATGAACCTCCAGTCACGCGCAAGAGCGCCTTGAACGGCATTCAATACTGACGGCTCGAAGGAACATGGAGACATCCCCTGAGGTGTTTCGATGCACGGTGTTTTATAGACAACGCCTCCTCGTCGCACCTCCAGACGCGTTGTCAGGACGGGCTGGGCGATTCGCTTGAGACCGCCATTCTACAGCTGGGAACAGTTTGCAGATATGACAGTTTCCCGGAAGCGCGGCGAACTGTATTCAAGACGGGGTTTTTGTCGGGGGTTGCTAAAGGTGCCCCTGGCCCAAGGTACCCCCAGCTTTTCGCTCTATTTTGGAGCCCCTGGGGCCCTCTGGGCCTCGTGAGGGGTGCCCTGGAGGCCGCCTGGGCCACCCCGAGAATCCTAGGGGTACCTTGGGCCAGGGGTACTTCGAGCAACAACCGATTTCGCTTTGGCGCTGCGCACGGCTGTCTCAACAAGAGAGATGAGCAGCCATCTTGATGGAGGGGGCGAACCGTTCTCAAAACGGGGAATCAGTTGTACTGATGGAGGGTGGCTCCCTTTTAACACGGCTTTCTCGTTTGATATGTAGGTCATCATGCGTATTATGTAAATGCCTCCGTGTATATATATCTATATATATATACATGTATATACACATGCATGTGTATACGTATATGCAGACATGCACACATGCATACATACATACGCGCATGCGGTCATATATATATATATATATATATACATACAAACACACATGTATGCATTCATAGATTCAGACATGCAAACATACATGTGTTTATATATATATACATGTGTATATATATAGAGAGAGAGAGAGATGCACGGTCTACGATATACTATATGTACAGATTGGGATAAAGGGTCGGGGACCTTCTCCCGGCTGCTTCTGGTCGCAATGGGTGCCCCAAGCTCCCCAGGGGCCTTCTGGAGCGGCTCGAGAGCCGCCCAGACGGCATCAAGTAGCGTCCAAGAGACACCAGAAGGCTTCCAGATGTCCCGCGTGGTTTCGAAAGGTCCCAGATAGCTTCAAGATGGCCCAAGAGAACTCGACGAGCGCTCCCCAGAGAGCCCGAGAGCCCCAAGAGGCAAAAACATTGATTTCTTTTAAGTTGTTTCATGCTCTTGCTTGGGTTCTCGACGTTCGAGCTTCCGACGCTCCACGATAGCCCAAGAGGCCCCCAAGAGGGCCCCAAGACGGTTCAATAGGATCCCAAGACGACCCCAAGCGGGGCCCAAGAGGGCTAAAGAGGATTTCGAGACGACTCCAAGAGGGTTCCAAGAGCAGGAGCCCGAAGCGATAATTCGACCTTTCCGTCCCAAGAGACCCCGAGACAGCCCAAGAGGATTCGACGACCGCACCCCAGAGGCAAAAGCATGTGATTAAAAACAAAATGGTATCCAATGTGTTCGGAGTTCTCGACTGTTCCATCTTCCGGCGCTCCACGACGTCCCAAGAGGTCCCCAACACCGCCCCAAAACGGGCCAAGAGGCCCCAGAGAGTGCCCATGCCCAAAGACGGCCCAAGAGGCCCCCAAGACGGCCCTAGAGGTGCCCAAGATGCTCCAAGATTGACCCAAGAGGGGCCCGAGCGCAGAAGCTCGAACCGATAGTTCGAGCCTTCTGTCTCAAGATCTCCTCACACCGTCCGAGAGAACTCGACCAGTGCTCCCCAGGGGTTTTTCAATGTTTTGGCGGGTTCCTGATTTTTCTACCTTTCATCGCTCCACGACGTCTCAAGGCCCCCAGGACCGCCCCAAGACGGCCCAAGAAGCTCCCAAGAGGGGCCCAAGGGCCCTTGAGGCGCCCAAGACGGCTCAAGCGGCCCCCGAGACGGCCCCAAGAGGGCCTCAAATGTAGCACACACCTAAAACAAGCCGTTTCCTCATCAAGGGTTGCGTTGTACTAAATGTGTGTTACAATTATTGGGGCTCGAGGGCCGCTCATGGAGCTCCCTTGGCGCCCCTTCGGGCCTTCCCAGGCCGTCCTCTAGAGCTCTCTTGAGGGCATCTGGGAGTGTCAGGAGAGCCCAAGGAGGGCCCCACATGTAAGACAAATTTCACACAAACAGCAGCCTCGTCAGGGGCGGCATTGTAACACATTTGTGTTAAATTGTTGGGTCTGTGGAAGCGTTCTTGGAGCTCCCTTGGGGCCCCTTCGAGCCATCCCAGGTCGTCTTGGAGAGCCTCCTGGGAGCCTGTGGGGGTCCCAGGAGATCCCCAAGAGAGCCTAAACTTGACACAACACCGTCCTTGACGTGGCAGCGGCTTGTGATAGATTTGCCAGAGTGAGGGGGCTGAACCGAACGGTCATTCACTGTCCCTGGGTGCGTGGCTGAAGTGGAATCCCGCGAGGCGGATTATCGTTGTGTTTGTTGCTGTTGCTGTTGCTGTTGCTGTTGTTGTTGTTGGTGTTGTTGTTGTTGGTGGTGGTGGTGGTGGTGGTGGCGGTCGTGGTGTTGCTGGTGTTGTTGATGCTGCTGCTGTTGTTGTTGGTGTTGTTGTTGGTGGTGTTGTTTGGTGGTTGTTGTTTGTTGTTTGTTGTTTGTTGTTTGTTGTTTGTTGTTTGTTGGTGTTGTTGTTGTTGTTGTTGTTGCTGTTGTTGCTGTTGTTGTTGTTGTTGTTGTTGTTGTTGTTGTTGTTGAACATTATTCCTTCTAAAGAATTATTATTGTTGGGACCCCTGGTGCGCGACCTCTGCGCCGCGCCTAGGCCGCAGCTACATTTTCATCATTTTTTCGCGAAAGCTTCAGAAAAGTGGATGAGCTCCGGATCCGGTTTTTTGTTGACGCTCGTTTTCCCTTGCAAAAAACAATAGAAAATGAAAATTCTTGTTTTTACTTGATCAAATTGCAAGAATCCCTTGCAAAAAATAAGGTAAAGTGGACATTCGTGCGCGCAAGACGAAATCCTTCCAAAACCTTAGGTTTCGTAGCGATTTTAACATAAAAACATCAAAAACCCAATGGTTTTTTAAGAAAAAATTGTCAAAATGTCCTTCCGCGCGCTCTTGCGGATTCATAGGAAACACACCACTTTTTAAACATTTCTGTCAAAAGGGTCTTTGCGTGCTACTTCTTCAGGTGCTTTGAACTTCTCCAACAACGGTTGCGCGCCTGCGAGGGCCACCATCCCTTGCAAAAAATGAGACGAAGTGCACATGCGCGCGGCCGCCGCGCGCGCATGTCGAAATCCTGCCAAACACAATGGGTTTTCAATAATTTCAAGATGCGCACGCGCGCGTGCACGCGCGCGTTGGGCACTGAGAGTTAGGATCATAGCGCCATGAGTCTATGAGCAATGCATGCGTCATCCTTGGGACTGTATAACATCAGTGTAACACATGTACTTCTGTAATCGCATCCCCACGAATTTGCCCCAAAAATGTGACCAACTATCTTGGCACTGCGTACCATCTCACGTGTACCGTGTACCACATCATATGTAACAGATGTGATCAACCTCTGTGGGTGTGTACCCCACGCCAGTGTAGTAGCCAGGGTCGTCCGCACGCCACGAAGTGAAGTGTCCCAACGTCATAGGGCGGGAAGCTGGGTGTGGGTGGTCTCGAAGAGTCGTTTGGATATTTGGTAGAGCTTGAACGGCCCCCCCACGAAGTGGGGGTATTGGCTGGTGTCGCAAGAAAACCCTGGCACTGGGGAGAACACTGAGCGTTCGGGTAAAATGATTGTTGTTGTTGTTGTTGTTGTTGTTGTTGTTGTTGTTGTTGTTGTTGTTGTGTTGTTGGTTGTTATTGTGTGTTGTTGTTTGTTGTTGTTTGTTGTTTGTTGTTTGTTGTTTGTTGTTGTCGTCGTCCCACCCGCGACCCGCCCCGCGACCCACCCGCGACCCACCCCGCGACCCACCCGCGACCCACCCCGCGACGACCCCGCGACCCACCCGCGACCCACCCGCGACCCACCCGCCCACCCACCCACCCGCGACCCACCCGCGACCCGCCCGCGACCAACCCCGCGACCCGCCCGCGACCCACCCCGAGACCCCCCCCGACCCACCCACGACCCACCGACCACCCCCCCACCCGACCCCCCGCGACCCACTGCGACCCACCCGCGACCCACCCGCGACCCACCGCGACCCACCCGCGATCCACCCGCGACCCACCCCGCGACCCACCCAAAACTTTCGGCGCCTGCGGCGGGCTTCTTTTGCATTCGTTCCAGGTGGAGAACCTGCGACCCACCCGCGACCCAAACCGCGTTCAGTGTACAAATCAAAATTGTCGGCGCCTGCAGCGGGTTGTTTTTGAATTCCTTCCAGGTGGAGGTGGAGAGCCCGCGACCCACCCGCGACCCAAACTACGTTCACTGAACAAGCCAAAACTTCGGCGCCTGCGGCGGATTTCTTTTGCATTCGTTCCAGAACCTGCGACCCAAACCGCGTTCAGTGTACAAATCAAAATTGTTAACGCTTCGCG